TATATATATATATATATATATATATATATATATATATATATATATATATATATATATATATATATATATATATATATATATATATATATATATATATATATATATATATATATATATATATATATATATATATATATATATATATATATATATATATATATATATATATATATATATATATATATATTTATTTATTTTTTATTTTTTTATTAATTAATTAAATTAAATTAAATGTCTTGTGAGTGAACAACACGTTTATTGGACTGCTCTATATGAATGTTGATTTGGTTGCTGTTTTAAAGTCTTAATTTTCCAACCTTATTACTGTCTTATATCTATTAGAACAATCTCTAGTGAATTCTTGTTTAAATGCACCCTCAAACTACTTTCTTAAAATAAAGCTTTTAAATTATGAGGAAATTTATCTTATTGTGCCTATCTTTGTTTTGGCAGAATGCATTCGATGTTGGTTGTACTGTATCCTGTTTTACCTGCTCTTGTTTATTTGTGATCATTTATAACCCAGGGTGTGTACAACACAATTGTCAACAACTGTTATTTTTATTTTGCTTTATAAACAAAGTAAAGTAAATAATGGTAATGGCTATGTGGCCAGGGCTCTGTTTTCTCAGCTTTTATTTTTTATTTTTTATTTTTTTTACCTCATATCAGTTTTCTTCCCAAATTACAATGCTCTTACTTGTTCTGTAAAGGCCTAACTGTTATCTGAGGCCTGAAATTGTTAACCAGTTTCAATCTCACTAGTACCCAAGTGCAGTCTTGCGCAGATGTCAAGTCCTGTTAAATCCACTGCAAATTATACCATTTTATAGAATATTTTTGTCTCATGCTTTCATTGATTTCTATTGACTTCCTTCTGTTTGCACGTTCCATAGTTTGTAATAGTCTCTATTTGTATTCCTCCAGGTGGAGCGGGCAGCATTAGAACTTATTTAAAATGCATTAGGCCTGAATCCTGCATTGATGTTTCCATAGACAGCTGATTGCTGTGCTGCGGCCGGGTCGATCAGTCCTGGGAACAGTCAAAGGCTCGCTCAACTGTGTGTGTGTGTGCGTGTGTGCGTGTGCGCG